TTCATACCCATACTCCTCCGATCCTACCTAGAACCATAACTTTTCGTAATATTGATGTCCTCACTCGTGAAAAAATCTTACCCTACCTGGAAACCTTTGATTGGAATGGAATATATTCCTTTTCATGTATTGACTCTATGGTTGATATTTTCACTTCCAACCTCCTTAATATCCTCGATGCCCATGCTCCCATTAAAACCTCGACCTTTCGTCGCCCCCGGCTCCCTGGATGTGTCAGCAAATTAAAGATCTTCAGAAGAGACGTGATGCAGCCCGCAGACGCTTTAGACGCACTAGGCTCGCTGACGACTACCAAGCGTTTAGGGTGCTCCGTAACCTGACACAAACCAAAATCCGAAGAGCCAAATCCTCCTATTTCCACGAAGCCCTTTCAGCAGCTCCTGATTCCAAAACGAAATGGCAACTCCTTCGTAAACTCTCCCTCTGTGATTCTTCCAGATCACCTTCCGCAGCAGTCTTTCCAGTCAAACCTGATGATTTAAATTAATATTTTATATCAGCTTCCTCCTGCATTCCTCCATCAACCTCTTCCTTCTTTACTCCTGGAATATCATTTAACGACGACAACTTTTATTTTTCAGATATTTCTCCTACAGACCTCATATCCGCCGTGATGAAATCTCATTCCAATTCCATTGGTCCAGATGGTATTCCCGTCAAATTAATCAAATTATGCCTACCTGAAATCCTTCCCGCTCTACTTTTCATCTACAATTTCTCCCTTCAGAACGCAATATTCCCTTCCTCATGGAAAAAAAGCTATTGTTCGTCCTTTACTTAAAAATCCTAACCCTTCTTCCCCTGAAGATTACCGTCCAATCTCAATCCTTTCTAACCTTGCAAAACGAATAGTCCAATCCCAAGTTTCCAACTTCCTAGAACAGTCCAATCAACTTGACCCTTACCAGTCCGGTTTTCGACCAGGCTACTCCACACAATCCGCCCTAATCAAAATCGTTAGTGATGTTCAGTCGGCCATAGATGATAAAAAACTAACTGTCCTTATCCTCCTAGACTTTTCCAAAGCCTTTGATATCATTAACCATTCCATCCTTTTCTCCAAATTGTAATCGTTATCCTTTTCCAACAGCTCTATCCTTTGGTTTCAATCATTCCTCTCTCAACGTACCCAAGCAGTCTCTATCCCCAACCAACCTTTATCATCCTATCTAACTCTGTCCTCTAGAGTGGCACAGGGCTCCAGCATATCTCCTCTCCTTTTTAGTTCATATATTAATGACCTTCATAAATCAATCCTTTACTGTTCACATCACCTTTATGCCGATGATTCCCAAATTTACCTCTCCTTTGCTCCCTCTGAATGGCATGATGTGTTTGCCAAAATACAAGAAGACCTAAATCGGATTTGTGCCTGGGCAAGTGAAAATGGATTAAGGTTATACGCTGCTAAAACCCAAGCCATTGTCATTGGTTCCAAACCCCTTCTCAGATCCAATACCAACATTCCTCTCCTGTACCTAAATGACCAACCCATCACCTTCAACACTTCAGTTAAAAACATAGGTGTTATCATAGATCAAACCCTCTCCTGGAATCACCATATTTCCCTCATATCCCGACGTTCAATTTCCATCCTGAAACTCTTTCATCGCTTCCGCCATCTCCTACCCATATCCACACGTAGACTCCTAGTATCCGCCCTCATCTTCCCCCACATTGACTACGGCTGCGCAGTGTACGGTGGTCTCTCATCGGAAGTTGGAGTCAGACTGAAAAGAATAATGAACGGCTTAGTACGATTTGTTAATGGGACCCCGAGACGTTCTTATGCTTCCCACTACTACGCCGAGTCAGGGTGGCTCTTTCCCTCCTTCAGAAGACAGTACTTCCTAGGTACATTCCTTTACCAAATAATCTATAATCATCGTCTGTCCTACGCATTCAATCTCCTTCAATTCAAGTCATCTATCCATTCCCTCTCCACAAGATCTCGTCCTTCCGACCTTTATGCCCCTTTCCACAAATCGGGCTCATTTCAACACTCCTTTATTGTCCGATCCACCACATTTTGGAATTCCATCCCACATAAAATCCGCCATGCACCATCCTTATCCACATTTAAAACCCTCCTTTTCCAATTCCTCCTTACAATTCAATCAGACGCTGGGTAGCCTATTATTGTATTATTATACTATTATTGTATTATATATATATATTAAAATATATATATATATATATATATATATATATATATATATATATATATATATATATATATATATATATATATTGTATATATACTATTGTACTATTATTGTATTATTGTATATATATTATATATATACTATTATACTATTATTGTATTCTTCGAACATACTATTATTACTAGAACATCTTTATTATTATTATTCTTTTTTCATTAATACAAGGACATAACAACAAAAGTTAACTTTTTTTTTGTTTTTTTTTTTGTTTCCTGTAATATACATTTTGGCCAAATGTAATGTTAATTTTATGTACAATATTGTTATTCTCAAGGGACGTAGTCCCAGAATAAAGTTGATTCTTCTATTCTATTCTATTCTATTCTATGAGTATTTTTTGAAAATAACCTCCATTTTAAGATTACGTGACTGCGTTTCGAATTGTTTAGGTTTTTTTGATTTATTCGATATAAGGGTGTATTTTTATGTTTCCCGATCCGTAAATTTTGAAAATGACATCCATTTTATGTTTACGCCACTGCGTTTCAACTGTAACCAAGATTAAGGAAGCACTGAAAACAAAAAAAAATCTACTCTCTTTTGTTTCCTAAGCAGATGACTAATTGATATTTTAGGATGTGCATGTACTCTTACATCTTATTGTATCTTGACTATCTTTGGATGTGGCATGCCATAATATTGTATATAAAATAAGTATCTTTTTTTTTGTTATTTGTATTATCTTAAATATCTTTCTTTTTTTTAACTTTAATTGTATATAGTAATTATGTTTGAGTTCACTCCTTTTCCTTGTATTTTATTTTTTTTTATTGTACATGGTATTAATTCTGTAAATATTTCTTTTTGTAAATAGATCTGTTAACCTTTTTGCTGCTTTATAAAAATTATCCAACCTAACCCCTTCTCACCTGAGCTAGCATGGTAGAGTAAATATGTAATGATGGCCATTAAAGGGTAAGTACTTTCTGTTTTCTAATTTATCTCTTTAGAGATGAAAGACTGTTAAGCCAGGCGCCCAACAAATAAAAATTCCTATGAAAAATTATATTTATTAAAAATTATTTTATTATATCTTTTATTTTATCCTTTATAGTTTTCTTACAGGTGATCACAACATTAAAAAAGATAAATAAAATTAAATTAAAAATGAGACAATACATATTTTATTTATTTCGATTAGATATCTTTATTTATTTATTGAAAAACAAATTAATCCTTCGTATTTTGTTTTTTATTCGAAGGAAAAATCAAAAACACGTAAAAACATCGAATCACAGTGGCCTAATCTTAAAATGTAAGTCGTTTTAAAAACTAAGGCTCCGGCATCATAAAAGTAGACCTTTAAATTGGATAAATTCGAAAAACTTGAATAAGTCAAAACGCAGTGGCGTAATCTTAAAATGGAGGTGATTTTCAAAATCTACGACTCCGGAAACACAAGAATACACACTTTTATGAAAAAAAATCGAAACATTCAAAGAAATCGAAACGCGGTGGCCTAATCTTAAAATGGAGGTCATTTTCAAAATCTACGGCTCCGGAAACATTAGAATGCACCCTTTTATGAAAAAAATTCGAAACATTCAAAGAAATCGAAACGCGGTGGCCTAATCTTAAAATGGAGGTCGTTTTCATAATTTACGGATTTCATAATTCATACTAATCATAATTTGCGACTCGGAAAACATAAGAATACACCCTTGTATCGAATAAATTAAAGAAACTTAAATAAGTCGAAACGTAGTGGTGTAATCTTAAAATGAAGGTTATTTTAAAAACTAGGTACAGGAAAGCATAATACTAGTCCCTAATAAATCCGAATAGGTGCAATAAATTGATATCCGTAAGTGAAAATTCTACTTAGGAGAGCATAATAATAGACTTTCATATTGGATGGGGGGAGGGGATGGCCATTATTTTTAAAAAAATATAAAATTTACAAAAAATTAAAACATTAATTTGAATTGGAAAAGGTTTAATTTGAAATGGAAATGGTTGAATTTGACTTGGAAAAAGTTTAATTTGATCTGAAAAAGGTTGAATTTGACTTAGAAAAAGTTGAATTTGACTTGGAAATAATTGAATATGACATAGAAATATTACACTGAAAAAATCTAAAATGTTAAAATAAATGGATATGCAACCGCGTTATCAATTTTTTTTTTTTGTATTTTTGAAAAGCTATGCCTTCGATAATATAGTAAGTGGCCTTCATTTCGAAAAAAATCGAAAATTGACAAAAATTCGAAAGTTGAAATTGAAATGGAAAAGGTTGAATTTGAAATGGAAAAGGTTTAATTTGACTTGGAAAAGGTTGAATTTGATTTGGAAAAGGTTGAAATTGACTTGGAAATGCTATAACTTAAGCAAAACGAAATTGACTACTATTATTTATAACTAAAACTAAATTAATATTTTTCTGATGTGTCATGTTTTATTCTTATCATAGTATTATTAGTTTTTAGAATTTTATCTATGCATGTTCAATTCTTCTAATAGAAGTATCTGGTTAGAGGTGCGGTAAAGAGATAAAACACAGCAAATGTGAACAAAAAATAATAATAACAATATTTTAATTGAATAGTAATGTTTATATTCATTTTAAGATTTCGCAATGTTCATGTTGTTCCTTTTTATTGCTGTGTGTTATCTTTCTTTACCTCGCCTTCAACCACCTTCTTTTTGATTATGTGTATGGTCAACAATTTATCCTCAAATTTTCTTTATAATTAAATGCACATTGGTCTGAAGATTTGGTGTCGTCCTTTTTAATTTGTAACTATTATTTTTAAGGCTGTCTGAATTATGGAAGCTGATAACAAATTAATGAAGAAGAATAAAAAAGTCGCCAGTAATTTTTATATTCCTCCACCGGCTCGTAAATCAGAAAATTGTCCTCAAATGGTGTTAAATGAAACAAAATCAAAAGACAGGTATATTCAATTTATATAGATAACTTAACCATAATCTTATTGTTTTTTTAGGGCAGGTACAAATCTTCAAAAAGACACAGATAGATGCATACCTGTCTGTGTATTACTTCATTGTGTTAGGCTACCTCCTGGCTTGCCTTTCCTTTCCTATTCCTTGACTTTGTTCTCTTGATGGTCAGTGCTGTAAGGCATTGATCCACAAGCTCTACCTGTCTGTCATTAAATGTGAGCTGATACAAATTACAATAATGCTTATTAAAAAATAAATTAAATAAAAAATAAAATTAAAATAAAATAAATAAAAAGGGTAATTATGTTATGAATATTGACAATGATTTTTATAACTTGATAACAAGTAGAATACTATTAAAAGAAACATTAAGTAAGAAAAATTAAATATAAATAAAAATATTTTATAAATTAAATATTCAAGCATAAAAGGAATGACAATATTAAAATCCGTTGAATAAAGTTTTATTATTAGATTTAAATGTATAAGAGTTGTGATGATCAAGAGGTATTAACAGTGGCAGTAGTATAGGTAGTATGTTTACAGTTAAGATTTCTTACCAACTTGGTTTTTTTTGTTGGTTTTTTTGTAACTTATGTATTTTTCGAAGAAACACTTTGATCACTCAAAGAGGAATTTTGAGACAATGGGTGATTTCTTTTCATGTTATAGTTTAAGATTGGTATATTTGATACAGTATCCGGTTTATTTTTATTTTCATTTATTATTTTTTGGTAAAGAAACAATTAATTTGTCACTTCAGTCGATATTTTTATCGGAATTAATTTTGTTTAAAGTAGATTCCATTATACTTATTTTTTAAAATAAAACTTCGACTGTAGTAGCTAATTTTGAGACCTGTTCCACTAAAAAAAAAAAAGATGTTCGCTGTTGCTTGGGACTGGAGGCAGCCTGAGCATGCACAGCCACAACCTCAGCGTGCGTTCTACCTGAGTCATTTGCATTGGGTAATTCTTCACGCCTCAACCTAAACTCTGCTTCATGATATGAAATTATCTCCCGTGTTTCCATACCCTCTATCCTTTTCTCTTCTCGTACACTGGACATTTAGAACTATAAGCAGGATGACTACCAAGGCAATCCAGGCTCTTAATTTGATCGTTTATGCAATTGTCAGAGTTATGTGAATTTTCTCCACATTTTCCACAATTAATAATATTACAATGCTTTCTAGTATGCCTAAACTTATAACAATTAAATTTATAACAAGAAAACAAAGGAGTGGCTTCCGTTCATAAGGTCTAATTTTTATGGACAAGAAATCCAATAAAACTCTTTCAGATAATTCACTCTTTTCAAACGTCAAAATCAGTAACGGAGTGGCTCTATTTTCATTATTTATTTGTTTATAGATTCTTTTAACCTTCACTACTCCTTGGTTCTCAAATTCAGACACTATTCCATCTTCAGGACAATTTAACAAATCTGGGACGTAGGCAATCCTAATTGAAAAATTAAGTGATTTGTGTAATTCAAATATAATCGGAATATTTTGGGACATTTTTATATTTTCTAAATTTCTAAAATCTTTTTCATTATTTACAGTAAATAATATCGTACCGTTTCTCAAAAATTTTACAATCACATTTGGACCATAATATTTCACAAGTCTGCAAATATTAAAAGGACTGTAGTCCTTAAAAGTTGTATTGCTCGGATTATCACTTAATCTCATTATTAAATATTTCTTCAACCACTTTCCTTTATATTTAAATATATTTTCCTGTATGTCAGAGGTTTTGGCTCTAATTTAGTCTCCATTAGATGAGATGATATATTAAACATAAAAAAATAACAAAGAAAAATTATTAAAACAAATGCAAAAAATTACTTACATAAAATGATATAAGAATAGAAAGAAATAAAAAAATAAAAAAAAAGAAACGAAAGAGATACTCCCTGTAGACAGTGAGAATTGATGTAAACAGCACTGGGAAATAACTTTATTTAACCCTTACACCTCCTCTCAATGCTTCAATTCATTTTTTTTTTTTTTCGACAACTTTTCAGACAATTTTGTCCATTTTCAAGTCAAAATATTTATATCATTATCCTATCATCTATGTAATATTATTTGTTATATTATCATCTTAATTATTGTAATTTTTTTTTCTTCTCACATTCTTCTAATATTAATTTCATAATTTATGAAAAGTCAATTCTTTGGGCAATCAAAAAATTAAATATTTTTTTTTAAATTTACATCAAATTACATAAGACTATTGTATAAAAAGGGCGAAAATGTGTAACATTTGATGTAAATTTTAAAAAAATGTTTAATTTTTCGACGGTCCAAAGAATTGACTTTTCATAAATAAGTTATGAAATTAATATTAAAAGAATGTGAGAAGAAAAAAGAAAATTTTTACAATAATTATATAAGAAATAATATTACATAGATGATAGGATAATGATATAAATATTTGAATATTGAAAATGGCCAAAATTGCCTGAAACGTTGTCGAAAAAAAAAAATTAATTGAAGCATTGAGAGGAGGTGTAAAGGTTAAATGAAGTTATTTCCTGGAAAATATTAGTTTTATTAATATTTTTAATGAAATTCTTTGAATCTCGATAAAATAAGGTCGTAAGGCTTTAGAACATTGTTATCTGCTCAAATTCGGAGGAGGAGCCGAGCAAGAAAATTAAAAACAATTAAAGATGGTTAAAGTCTACCAATCTTGATAAAATAAGGTTGTGAGGCCAAAATATCGGTCTTTTGAATAATGGTCTCTGCTTTAATTATCGGAAGGAGAGAACAAAAAAAATAATTATAATTTAATAAAAAAATGATAATTGTCTATCGTTCTCGATAAAATATCGGTCCAAGGGGAAGATTTGAAAAGGACAAGCGAAATAAAAAAAATTGGAAAAGAGGACAATAGAAATAAAAAAAAGTGCAGCTCTACTAATCTTGATAAAATAAGTTCGTTAGACCGATATATCAGTCTTTGGAATTGGTATCTGCTCGAATTAGGGAAGGCGGAGGACCAAAAGAATAAATTAAAAAGTCAACTGATCTAGATAAAATAGGTTCGTGAGGCCGATATATCGGTGTTTGCTCAAATTTATATTTATGTCAATCCCTTGACGTTGGATCAACACATTTATTAGCAATAAAAATAATATTCCAAGTTTAAATCTCGATAAAATATGGTCATGAGGCTGATACATCGCTATTTGAAATATCGATATCTGCTCCAATTAGAGGAAGGGATGTACCAAAAAAAAATAAATGGTTATACTCCAATTGTCTCGATAAAAGGAAGTCATCAGGCCGATATAGCGGTTTTTAGAATGTTGGAATCTGCTCAAATTTAAGTTTATATCGATTTCATGGCGAATAATCGACACATTTATTAGCAATATAAGTAATATTTCTAGTGAAAATCTATGAATCAAAATAAAATAATATTGATATTTGCTCAAATTATAGTAAAATGAGGATAAAAAAAATTAATAAAAAATGGTCAAAGTCTACCGATCTCGATAAAATAGGAAAGGCTAATTTAGAAATCTTTGCTCAAAGTTTTGGTTTTGTCAATCCTTTGACGATTGATTGACTCATTTATTAGCAATAAAACTAATATTCCAAGTATGAATATTGGATAAAATATGGTCTTAAGGCCGATATATTGTTATATTTGAAATATTGTTATCTGTTCAAATGAGGGGAATGGAATGACTAAAAATATATATATATATTGTTTGTTTCGGTTGGTCTTCTAGATTCCTGATTTAAGTATACGATGGGGGGGGGGAGGGGTCTCGGGCTGTCACCCATCCAAGTACTAACCACGCTCAGCATTGCTTAACTTGATTACCTATTGCAAGCGCCTTAGCCCACACGGCTACCCCAGCCCCATATATATATATATATATATATTTTTTTTTTTTGGATCTTCCTCTTCCCAAAATTTGGGCAGATACCGACATTTTAAAGATCGCTATATCGGCCGGATGACTTCATCTTAACTAGATTTTTAGAGTTTTACCAATGGTATATAATATATATAAAGTTTTAAAAAATGGTAAAACTCGTAACAATCTAGATAAGATGAAGTCATCCAGCCAACAGATCTTTAGAATGTCGGTATCTGCCCAAATTTTGGGAAGAGGAAAATCAAAAAAGAAAACAAAATGTGTAATTATATGTGTGTGTGTGTGTATATATATATATATATATATATATATATATATATATATATATATATATATATATATACGATTTGTCAATGGAACCCCGAGTCGTTCTCATGTTTCCCACTACTACGCCGAGTTAGGGTGGCTCTTTCCCTCCTTCAGAAGACAATATTTCCTAGGTACTTTCAGTTAAAATTCCATAGTTTATTGTTTTTAGTAACTATCTTGCAGTATTAGGACCTTATTGCTCACATTATGTCTTTAATATATCAGTATAGTTATGTAAATCCTTCTGTTATTACTTATTTTTTAGTTTTTTTTGTGTTGTAATATGCATTTTGGCCAGATGTTACGTTAATTTTTATGTACAATATTGTTAATCTCAAGGGACTTTGTCCCGGAATAAAGTTGATTCTTCTATTCTATATCAGTTTTTAGAATATTGGTATCGGATAAAATTTATATAAAGATCTAACTCTAGATGATTGTTTGATACTTTCATTCAGTAATTTTGGAATTTCCTATGCGACATTGTATGGAACTAGACATATAGGAACAAAAGCCCGATATGCTGAAATATAAGTTTATCGCTCTTTTATGAGTATAAGTTTGTGTATAGGCTGATGCATAGATGGTCTATTTATTCTTTTATATAGCAGTAAGTAGAATATTCCATGTGAAACTTTAAAAATCTTGACAAAAAGGTTTTTAAAAACTGATTTATCGGCATGCCGATATGCCAAATGAATTGTTCTTTGAAATATCGGTATCAGTCAAAATTTCGATACCTATTGATATTTATTGTATTGTATTGAAATTGTGAAAAAAACAAAAACAAATGTAATAATAAAAAAAAATACTTTTATTTTACAACATATATATTAAAAAGGACTCTCCCTACATGATTTTTTCTTTTTGAAAAAAGACTTTCGACGACTTTGCCAGGCCCTCCAATTTTTTATTCCATCTGTATAACATGTCATGGGCACAAACTTCTCTTAAAAATTTATTCCATGTTACAATAGTTGCGTTGGATAGTTTGAGCTGCTCTTTCTCCCCACTGTATTGTTGTTAAATTATGGGACCACTCATAAATGAATTTTAAAGCCGTTAAAAAATATTGGCGAATACCAAAGTGGCTTTCAACCTGGAAGAAGTACAATAGACCACATCTTCTCTAATCGACAAATGCTGGAGAAGGTATATGAACATAATATTGATCTCTTTCATTCACCTCTTCATCGATTTCCTCCAAGCATATGATAGCCTCAATAGGAATGAACTGCTTAAAGTAATGAAAGCACTTAGTGTTCTAGAAAAGCTCACAGGATTGAGGGCGATGACCCTTGAAAAGACCAGATGCAAGGTGAAGATACAGAATACTGTCAGAAGAATTTGAGAATGGTTTACGTCAAGGAGATCCTCTCTCTCTAGTATTATTTAATATTGTACTGGAGCAAGCGGCTAGATCAATTAAGACAAACCCAGGAGGAACAATCTATAATAGACTTACCCAACACTTGGTGTATGCTGATGACGTGGTAATATCGTCAAGATCTAATGCCTTAATGTCTTCAAATAAATAAGGAAAAACCTAATATATGATATCCCAAAAAAATGGAGAACAGGAAGGACAGGATAGCATGCAACTGCTCCACCACACTTTTAAGAAAACTGGCAGTTTCAAATATCTCAGAGCCTTAGTGACGGGCAAAAATGACATCACTGTAGAAATTAATACGAGAATCGCAGAAGGCAACAGATGTCTTATTGCATTGTAGAAAATATTGTGTTTTCAACACCTGACACGGAAGGCAAAGCTCCTGGTTTATAAGACTATCTTGAGACCAATTGTCACTTACACAGGTGAAACATGGGTCCTGCGTCATGGGTACTCTGTCACAGGAATGCAAGAAGATCCTCCGAATCTGGAAAAGGAAGGTCCTTCGGCAAATCTTTGGGCCAATATGTATTAATGGCCAATGGAAAATAAGAAATAATAGAGAACTCCAAGAGCTGTATAAAGAACCAGACGTAGTCACTTATGTTAAATAAAGCTGTATAAGATGGCTTGGGCACGTAGAAAAAGGATGGGTGAAGATGGATACCCAAAAAGACTATTATATGGTAAACCAGGAGGCAAAAGAAGGAGAGGACTTACATGTATTGACAATGTGGAGGACAATTTGCTAAAGATGGGAAGTGGACAATGGAGAAGCCAGTCTGCTGATAGGGAGAATTGAAGAGGTATTGTTGTGAAGGCCAAGGTCCTACAACGGCTGTAGAGCCACGGAAGTAAGTAATATGTAAGTAAAATTTTATAAACCAAAATTTAAAAAAATTCAAAAATTGAATTTGAAATGGAAAATATTTAATTTGGTTTGGAGAAGGTTGAATTTGACTTGGAAAAAGTTGAAATTGACTCAGAAATGCTATACAAAGAAAATAATTTTGTTGAAGAAAGTATTAAATACAATAAAAAAAAAAAATTGAATAGTTTTAACTGTCTTTGATATAAAACATTTCTTGAAATGAAATTCAGGAATAGAAAGAAACTTCACTGTTAAAAACTTTTTTTTTTTTTCGTTCACCCTTTCATTGCCTTGATTTTCCCTGGGCCTGGGGAAGAGGGCGGTTAAAAGCTCCCCCAGCACTGGAACACGAACTCGTAATTATTTTATTATTTAAACTATTAAATGATAAAATAATTATGAGTTTATCTGGTTGCCGGGTATCCTGTGTATGTTACACGACCGCATGGCCACCTTACCCCCACTGTTAGAAACAATCAATGAGAAATTTAGTTGAGAAGCTGAAATTTTAAAAATTAATCAGGCAGGGAAAAGGGCTTACTGAAAGTAGTTGGATTTCGCTTTTCAAATTTATGAAACATCCTCAATGATTCATAGTTTTCTCCTACTAAGTACCTCATGCCTGTTTAGTAGATTCTTAATTTCTTGTCACATCCAGGAAGCAGGCCAGTGACAGTAAGTAAAGGTTTTGAGAGGGATATTATTATAAAATATACTGAGATTTAAAGGATGTCCACCATGAAGTCAATTATGCAGGAATAGATTTTGTTTTGTTTGATGGATTTGAGATCAAGTTGAATATTTTTATTGGTCTGGAAAATATATTGCTAAAAGTTATGGTTTATGTAGGATTAACAGAGTTAGTATATTTTAAGGTCAAACATATTTATTAATTTATATTTGTTTTTCTACTACACCCGTCAGAGATTAGAAAGCATTCAATAAACGGACCAACTGACAAGTCTCAAAGCTCGAGAGCTTCCATTCAAGAGAAATTCAGATTATTAACGAATATTCCAGTCTGGTAATATGTACAAAGCTACAATAATTAAAGTTTTTTTAAAGATTAATTCATCAAAACTTGAACTTTATGAGCCTTCAGCTGGAGCCTTGAAGGTTTGATGTCCAAAGGCTCTACAGCCGAGTGTTCACGACTTGAACCGTTAGGGTTCAAGCAGAGCTTGAGTCTTATTTTTAACACTAGTTTGCTCATTTACTGTGTAATTTATCACTTATCTATTCACAAAACCAAAGTTACTGAGAATTATTAATGCTGTTTTGTTTTTGTAGGTCAGCTGAAAAATTAAAAAATGTCAATGAAAATATGAAGATATGTAATAACAGTAGTCTACTTTTTAAATCTGATGAAACTGATTCTCATCATGTCCATAACTTACAGACCTCAGTTAAAAAAAAAAGAAAAAGAAAAAAAAAAGGAAATCTTAAAAAAGACTGTGAAAGTCAGAATATTCATGACCAGAATTTTTCAGTAGAAATTCCAATTGTTAGTGCAGAAACACTTGAAAACGCTGACTGTCAATCTGTTAATGAAATTGGTCCTTTTTCAGATATATCTCGCAGTGCCAGTATTAGTGTACTCAGTTTTAAAAATAATGGTGAACTTTCTGCCAATTTTTCAGCAGTCGAGTGCAATGAAAGCATTTCAGTTAAGTCAGATAATAATAAGCATCCTTTAAATGATACTGGATTTAAGCATTCAAATGGAACTGTAGATGACAGATTTGATGTTCCCTCCATTGACTCAACATTAGAATATTCAGATAACTATTTTATAAATGATTGTTTGACAAAGTATTTAAATATAAATGAAATTAAAAAGGATAGTATAGATGTTACTGAAAATGCTGGAGAAATCCATGAAGACTTAAAACATGATTTTATGACATCTGAAAAAAAACCTGTGTCATCTACAATTCTTTATAAAACATCAAATTCATCTCCTGATGAATCAAGAACAGAATCTTCACAATTATTATGTAAAGATGATGCTAATGATGATTGGGAAAAGCTACTAGAGGAAGATGAACTGCACAATTTGGTAATGAAAACAGTGAGTGTTAATAATTTATTTTACTTATTTAATATTATATGGATTTATCTCTAAACAAGGTACCTACTTATTTTATTTTTTCTTGTACATACATGATCAACATTTATCCTTGATATAGGTTTTGCTGCTGGTTATACCATGGTTATCAAAATTCACTGTAGATTAAATTATTTTAATGCTATTAACATTTATCATAACTAAGCCCTAAATTTTTATGCAAATAATTTTATTTTTATTTTTAAAAAGATTGAATAACTTTATAAAACGTTCCTTTATATATATATATATATATATTTATAAGAACTGCTAAAAGAAACTGGTCAGTCAATATCTCATGACATGAAGGCAAGCAAGGAGGTTAAGATGGGCGGGGTATGTAGCTCGAAGCAATCCATCAGGACTCCTTTACACAACAATGAATGCCAGAGTAGTAGGCAGGAGACCACGTGGGAGGCCAAAAACCAGATAGATAGATAGGATAAACAAAGTAACTAGATAGGATAGATAAACATACAGGCGAACAAATTTTGACATCTTTACCCTGAGAAATGTGATAGAGAAGTCCTGGGACCCCCAGACCGAAATATTTACCTCGACTTCTTAGACTTAAAGGCAGCGTTCGATTCAGTTCCCCGAAATGAAATTTGGGAATCCTTGAAGGAAAAAAATATCACAATAAAGCTTTTAAAGGCTATAAAATCGACTTATCAAGATCTGAAAGGTGTTGTACATCTGAATAGAAAAGAGTCAGGAGTGTTTAGTCTCAAAAAAGGAGTGAAACAAGGCGATTCCCTAAGCTCCCTTCTCTTCATTGTCTACATGGATGAGATCGCCTCCATCTGCAAATGGCGCACAGCACGAATACACATGGGCCATTGCAACTTGCTTCCTGTAGTTGTATAGTTTCTTCTATTTGCAGACGACATCATTCTTATTGCAGATTCCTCCAAGTGACTTCAGCAGGCAGTAACAGAGTGGAATGAAGAATTGAAGAGGAAGGGAATGACCGTCAATTCTCAAAAAAGCAAAATACTTTAAGTCGGCAGAACTCAAGAGAATATCTGGATTGTCTGCAATGAAGAGGTGATGGAAGTGGTGACAGACTTTACCTATCTGGGTACGGTAATCAATAGGTCGGGAAAAGTAGATTCGAAAGTCTCAAGCAGGATATCAAAAGCAAATTCTGTCGACTATCCTATACGATATGCAATGCCATAATCGGAAAAAAATAGGTGGGACAGGATGTGAAGCTCCATCTGTTCAAGTCTGTCTTCTTACCGATACTTCTTTTTGGAGCAGAGGGTTGGATCCTGAATAAGAGGTTACAAAGCCATGTTACTGCCACTGAGATGAAGTTTCTTAAAAAAATTGTGGGGAAAACTGTGTCCGAAATGACAGGATCAGGGAGAAGCTAAAGATATGCCCCATGCTGGAAACTCTGAAGAGAAGACAGTTGAAGTGGTATGGGCATGTCAGCCGTATTATTTTTTGTAAACTTTAGAATTTAATAGGTATTAAAGTATAAGAAGGAGTTGATCGGGGTGTGCGGTCAAATAAATACTAAATTATACAAATAGTATTATTTAATTAATTGTCAAGTGTTTTCATTCAAATAAACCACAAACCACTTAACTTAAAAACAGACAAACAAAACCTGTCCCATGCCTATTCTCAAATTATCAACATTATAAAAAATTCTTAATCATCAAATCTTCTCACTTCCATTTATAGTTCCTTTTACGTCTTTAACTTTTGACGCTTTACGTGTTATGTGTGCATGTGTTATATATGTATATGCATGTATGAATATATGTATATATGCATTTATGTGTGTATTACCCGGTGTGCCAGACCCCCTTACAGTGCACCTCCCCCCCCCCACATCCCTATAAATTGCATATCGTTGTGTTCCTTGTGACAATTTATTAAAAAAAAGCCAATGTTCCCACAAAAAAAGTGAACGAACTGCCCCAAAATGGCGTCCAAACATGGCGGATTGACGACTTTGACTTTAGTTAGTTTTTTTGTTACTGAGTATCAGCATTTGGCTTAATTTCATTATAGTTGGTCTTTTATTAAAGCTGGATAGTCAGAGAATAATAAAACATGAATAAATATTAAAACATAATTGGCTTAGGCATTAAAAAAAATCGGTAAAGTCAATCTTTTTTACAAAAAAATTTTCAAGTTGAAAATCAAGCGTCGTTTGTAATTAAACGGTCAACAATAATGCAAAACGTGCTGAAATAAAACATCTGGAGAATACATTTCTCTTTCTAAAACACTGATTACTTTTTAAAATATTTGAAGTAGTTCTGTATAAAATGTACTTAAGCGGCAGAAAAGCGCTACTGGCGTGGGTGCCTACAGGCCTCTACCACACCACTCAGTACTCATAAATGGCTTAGTTATAGTGCTATAATAACGTTTTTGTTATATTATATTGATTATATTAACGAGCAAATATTAATACAATAATTTAATTGTAAAAAATTATTTTTTTTAAATTTATTATTTTTGTTTTTATTTATCATTATTATTTTTTTTTAATTTAACTTCATTTATTCTATGCGGAAATCGCTGAAGAAGGCCTCTATTATAAAAATTATATAATTATAATAATAAAACTTAATTCAAAAATACTTTACAGAATATCTTGAATTTTTTATTTAATGTTTGTAATTTAACATTTGTTTTATATATTTACTGATTCTTAGAGGTAATTTAAATTGTATATACTTTCCCGGAAATGAGTCATATTAATATCTGTTTTATAAACTAAAATAATATATACCTAATCTGAACTACTTTTAATGAATAGGTGATTTATTGTTTAGTAAAATTCATATATCGCTATAAAAGAAATTTTTTATTTCCTTTATTTTATTTGGAAGTTGGATCATATCATAAAAAATAGGAACTTTTAATATTAAAGTGCATTATTATTGCTTAGTTCCAATAATACTTCCAGTTACCTATAAGAACTTATAGCTTCACCCTTTCCATATTTCTTTTGTGCAGAGAGAATAATGCATTTAATATTAAAATTTCGTATTTATTGTGATATGGTCCAACTGCCGAAAAAAATAAATGAAATAAAAATGATCATCACCTATTCATTAAAATGTACTGACAAAATGACTCTACTCCTTTCAGACCGTTTCACTTACTCTCCTACGTCCCGTGATCCCACCTCATCACTAAAACTTAAATTTAACCTACACTTAAAAAATATTTTAAATTCTAAACTCATAAACTACCCTACTTACAGAAACCTTATCTCCTACAATTCAGTTGCTCCCCGTTTTTATTCAGTTCCCCCGGACTTCCTAAAATCCACAAACCCGGCACCCCACTCCGTCCGATCACTTCCAATATTAATTCTCCTTCAGTTAAACTTAGCAAATTCTTACTACCTTCCTTACAAATTTTCAGCCACAACAACCCTTATGATGTACATAACTCATTCCATCTCCGTGAACAGTTACTCTCCTTTACCATTCCAGACAATTTTATTCTTTGCTCCTTCGACGTTGAAAGTTTATTTACGAACATACCCATAGACAAGGCACTTACTATAATAGACAAAAATTGGACTATCATTGGACCTCACACCTCACTTAACCGCTCCTCATATCTCGAATCCCTTCATCTATGCTGTAAATCAGGCTACCTCACTTTCCAATTACAATTTTTTAACCAAATCTCCGGACTAGCAATGGGTAATCCCCTTGCTCCCGACATCTCCAACATTGTTCTCAATGATCTTCTAGACTCCATTATCCCTCTTTACCCAGAACAGATGTTCTACCCCCAATTGTTTTTCATCCTATATTGGTGAAACTAAAAATCTCCTTAAAGACCGCATCACCCAACATAAATACTCTGTATCCTCTCGTAATTTAACCGCCTCCAAATTATCCGGACATTCTCTCTCCCTCAATCATACATTTGATTTCGACAAAACATCCATCCTTGCCACAGTTCTTAACCATGATAAACGACTCATTTCTGAAACCCTCCACATCCAGCTTCAACCAAAGACAGTGAATTTAAAAACGGACAAACAGAACTTATCTTTAGCCTATTCCCAAATTCTGAATTTATTAAAACATCCATAGTTATCCTTTTCTTTTCGCTGACAACTTTCTCATCTATATATATATTTATATGATATGTAATTAATTTCAATTATTCTCCATTATTACTCAACAGTTATTTTCTTCGTTTTATTGCCTCTCCAGAATTTCTATCAACTTTTTAAATGTATTACAAATTTAGTTATAATTTATAAATTATTTATTTATAATTTATTTATTATAAATTTATTTTATTTTAAACTATTTTTTTGCCTCTTTCTATCAACTTTGTTTTTATTCCTTAATATTTATGAATAATATATCTCTCGTTCTTATTTACGCTTCCGGTACGTTAGTTCAAACTTCGTCAGATAACAGTTGGAGATGACGCCACTGTACATCCCTTCTATCCACCCCCCTCCTTCAATAACACAAGCATTGCATCTCTACCTTAGAGCAGTCAGGTGTGTTATCTCTTCTTTTACTTATTTCAACCTTCTCAGTTTCTTTCCTCCTTCCTTTCGTTCCTTTTCTCTGTTTTAACTCTTTATTATTTCATACTTTGTCTGTACATATTGATAGACTTTACAACATCTCAATTTTCTATCTAAATATTCTATTAACTATATCTTAATTTTACTATTTATTTCCATTTCTTATATAACTTCATATTTTTCTGTTTTACATTTTATTCTAAGATTCCCTTTACAATACTTATGTCACCTTTTTAACTATGTTTACTTTATGATTCCACACTTTGTACCTGTTATTATTATTTGTCTCTTGTTCTTACTATTGTCATTATTCTAACAACTTCATTTTACTGTAATTTTTATGTTTCTCATACCTTGTTATCTGGTTCTTTTCTTAGCCCTGGTGATGGCCTCAACTTCAGGTCGAAACGTCGGCAAATGACAAAAT